AAAGGGAAAAAAGGCTAAAATTAAAAGATATCTTATTGAGAGGGAATAAAATATTTGCAACCTATGCTTTTGATAAAGAAATTGATATTCAAAATATATAAGACTAGGAGCGATAGCACAGCCGTAGGGCGTTTGCCTTGCACGCAGCCAACATGGCCGACCCAAGTTCGATTCCTCCGCCCCTCTCGGAGAGCCCAGCAAGCTACCGAGAGTATCTCGCCCGCACAGCAGAGCCTGGCAAGCTCCCTGTGAAGTATTCGATATGCCAAACACAGTAACAGTAACAAAAAACCAATAACTCCATAAAAATAAAGATTGGTCTATAGTTACTGATGGCAACATGTAAGTCCTTAGGGGTGATGCTACATGGAACACAGGATGAAAACCATATCGCATGAATACTACGCCTGTACCTCATTTGCAAACACACCCACACTGAACTTTACTTCCCCCAGTACACAGGCACCATAAACTCCTAAAGAGGCTCAGAAGGAAAATGACGGATGCTGACCCTTCACCCTCACCCTTTTCTGTGTCCTGAAAGGCAAGCAGTAAAGCTTCCGTGACTTGCTACTCCTAGGAGAGGATCACACAGTAAACTGCAGTCTTCTCTGTGCCCGTACAGCATCTTCCTCCCTGCTGGGGTTTCTCAAGACTCTTTCCAATTGCTCTTTGCTCGCCCTTTTGATAGCAGACATATCCTCCCCTGACAAAGTCCTGGTGGGGTAAAGGAACCAGAAGTAGCATTGTCCTGGTACCAGAACCACCCAACACTATGGATTCTTCTTGTTTGATGGGTTCGATGTGCTCCCCTCTAATCCAGCAGATTGCTTCCCCAAATAAACAACACAAAATCCATGCCTCTACCCACTAGCCTTTCTAGTGCTCTCTTTGAAACTAAGGTGCTTGAACTGTCAGAGGTCTGGGATTGCAGCATCTCACTCATGTGCTTGTGTGAAGCAAGGACTGAAGTGCCATTGCTCTCTGAAAAACAAGGATCTGTGTCAAACAGTATCCTGGAAAAAGAGCAAACACTTTACAAACTAACAAAATACACCAAAAGTATAGTTCCATTGTCAATTTAATTTGCTCAACTGACTCTGACCTTTTTGGATCACACCCAGTGATGCTCAGGGGTTACTCCTGGCTCTGCATTCAGGAATCACTCCTGGCAGTGCTTGAAGGACCGTGTGGGATGCCAGGGATTGAAACTGAGACAGCAGCACTCGAGGCAACACCCTACCTGCTGTCCAATCATTCCGGTCCCCAGACCTAATATTTTTATGTTTGCTTAACTCTTACATCTCCTGCCAACTTAGGTACCAACTGCACCATAATTGGGCATTCAGGTAATGATGATTTCATTACTCTTAGTCAACAAAACTGTTTCATTTACTGCAAAGTGCTGAAACACAGATGTGGGTTTCTAATTCTTTTAGGAAAAGAATAGAAAATTTATTTGAAAATAAATTGTCTTTCATTCATGTTGGGAACGGCATCTAGTTCATTCTGGAAAGCAGTGTGAAGATTCCTCAAAAAAGTAAACAAAGAACTCCCATATGACCCAGTGATTCCATTTCTTGGTATCTACCCCAGGAACACAAAAATATTAATTAAAAAATATACAGGCATACATATGTTCATTGCATTACTGAGGATAATAGCCAGGATATGGAAATAATTCAATTATCCAATAACAGATATTGGATAAAGAAAATGTGATATATGTGTATACCTCCACCCCGAGAACACAAAACATATTAATTCAAAAATATATAGGCACACCTATCTTCACTGCTGAGTACAACAGCCAGGATATGGTAATAACCCAGTTATCCAATGACAGATGATTGGATAAAGGTTGATATATGACCGATGTGGCACAAAATCAATGAAAAAAATCCTCAACAACATCTTATGAAATTGAACAATCCATATTCATGAATTGGAAGAATCAACATTGTCAGAATGACCTTTCTACCTATTGTGTGGAGTCAATGACATTGTTATACTATTACCGTTGCTTCTTTGTTGTTTCATTGAATTATTTCCTTTTAATTTGTTTTCATTTAATTTGCTCCATCTTCCCATCTATTTTTTTTAAGGGAGCGCATCAGCAGTGCTCTCCTTTGGAGAGAGTACAAAAATCCTAACAGCAATTGTTCTAATTTGTGGATAGTATCTTTTCGTTAGACCTCTCCAAAACTTTTTGGAGAGGTTTTGGCTTATTCAGCCTAGGTGTTGTAATTGTTATGTTTTCCAGGATTGACCCTGATTTTATTGCGAGATGATCTTCTTTGTCTCATGTCACCATTTTTATTGCGAAATCTACTTTACATAATATTAGTATTGCCATTTCAACTGTTTAACCCTTGCATTCCCCGTCTTGTTCCAGTTTTTAAATTTCAATTTCTACATATCGCTGCGTTTGAATTATGTAACCTGTAAGTAGCATATGGTTACATCGTGGGTTTTTTTTTTTTTTGCTTTTTGGGTCACACCCAGCAATGCTCAGGGGTTACTCCTGGCTTTGCCCTCAGGAATTACTCCAGGCAGTGCTTGGGGGACCATAAGGGATGATAGAACCCGGGTCGGCCACATGCAAGGCTAACGCCCACTGTGCTATCTCTCCGGCCCTCGTGGTTCTTTTTTAATATGTTGATCTCTGATTTTAAATTGTAATGATCAGTGTATCTACTTGATTTTAGTTTTGGTTTGGGGCCCACACCCGAGGTGTTCAGAGGCTACTCCAAATGTGGGGCTTCGGGGATCCCTCCCAGCAGCGTCAGAGGGACTGCGGTCCAGGGACCACACCTGGGAACTGAAATGCAGTGGACACCGCCCTCCCGGTGTAGACACACCCCGAAGTGCGCACCACAGTCAGGGGCTCCAGACACGGGTGCGGGGTGTAGAGCCAACAGCCGGGCAATAACGCAGGGCAGAGACCCCTCCAGAGATGCACTACTTGTCTATGTGCATAAGGGACCAGGATGCCGCCCCACGAGGCCGGGTAACTGGCCTGATGTCCGTTAAGGCTCCGCGCTTGGCAGTTGTGCACGTGACATCACGCTGACTTTGAGGGGGGTGGGGGTAGGAAAGCCTTGAAGGATTCTGGGAGACGTTGGAGGGCGATTGTACCGCGAGACTGGGCACGGGGCAGACTGCAAGAGGGCCCAGGAGCTCCTGCAAGAGAGCCAAGCAATGGACTGCTGAGGGTTCCTGGGAGCTCCGGCCCTTTCACGCGAGCCTCAGTGCTGGCCCTCAAAATCAGCGCTGGTGGAAGGAGTCCTCTCGATTTTAAAATGAGAAATGCCCGTCCCACGCAGCTATCGTGAGCGTTTTGGAGCGGGCTGAGGAAAAGACACTAGCCCCAAATGGGGACAATTACTATTATGATTTTTGGGCTCAGTAGCAGTTGCAAAGGTCCCATAAAAGAACAATCCTGGCAAAAAAAAACTCTAGACCCTATAAACATTCTTAGAAAGTACATGTCTCTGACTGTATTCAGAGTTTCCCCCAAAGCATTTTTATACTTAGAGTATTACTGTGGAAAAACAGTATTTCTCTTACAGCATTTGTTTAACACTTGGAGTTTACTATGAATTCTCCTGCAACTCCTTTTAAATTCATATTCTTGTTCTTGTTTTCTTTTTCAGGGACAAAACACTTTCTAAGTACCAACAAAAGTCCCTTTCAGAGAATGTTCACTAGGAGGAATGCTCCAAATCATTCCCCTCTTCCCACAAACCCTACTTTCTGTAGTAGCTCTACTTCTGCAATATTCAAGAGGAGAAATGTCTGCCATGAGATTTGGTCAAGCTCCTCTGAATCTGAAACACCTCCCTGCCTGTATTCTTACTGCAAAACAAAAAACAAACCCACAAACATGCTTCCACATCATTGGACATCAACGATGGAAGTAGATGAAGGGGAAGATTAGAAGATGAAAGTAAGGATCAACAAGTCTCTTTAGGGGGCTGGAGCGATAGCACAGCAGGTAGGGCGTTTGCCTTGCACGTGGCCGACCCAGGTTCGATTCCCAGCATCCCATATGGTTCCCCGTGCACCGCGAGGAGTTATACCTAAGTGCAGAACCAGGAGTAACCCCTGTGCAATGCCCGGGTATGACCCAAAAAAGCAAAAAAAAAAAAATAAAAAACAAGTCTTTTTAAAGATTGCTACACAGATTCCATAAAGATAATATCACACACAATGATAATATGGATTCTAAAGAGCATGCATATGTGACGCCGTAAGGAAATACACTACGCTTATTAAGGACTAGCGTGGCAATACAGGGGATAAGAGTCGACTTGCATATGACTGACTCTGGTTTAATCTCTGGCGCCATATGTTCCCAAGGTAATACAGGGAGTGATACTTGAGCACAGAGCCAGGTTTGCAATGCTGGAAATGACCCCCCAAAAAATTAAATCGTGAAGAATTAACTAAATAACAAAAAAATCACTGAGAATATGAAGATGTGATTTCTCCTTCAAAGCTTTGGCTTCCTATGTGGATCAGAGATTATGTTCTGAATTTTACTAAGAAGAAGTAGACTTTGTTGAAGTAGGTCAACAGGGAGTGAGAATTTAAAGAGGTTTGAGGGCCACACAACTAGACTGGTACTAGATTGGTGAGTAAAACATTGAGGTACAGTGAAGAGCAAGTTAAACCTGTGTGCTGAGAATCTGGAAAGTTGCTAGAAGAGGCCATGTCAGCTGTGCTACCAACTGACCAGTTTGAAGGAAAGCTCTGGTTCTGGCCGTCCAATCAGAGCCCTTCATGGAATGTTTCCCCAGCCAGGCCCTCCTGGCCCTCCCCTCCCCCACGGTGGAATGTCTTGGGTCCGACATTCTGAGGTTTGAATTCAAACTTCACCCTCACCCACTTGGATCCTGAGCATCTGCGTGAGCAGTTAACTCTCTCATCCTGGTCCTGACTTTTGCCATTGTGAAGGCTGATAAGCTGCAGGGGCCCTGGCCTCATCTACATGAACGATGTCAGAAACAGGTAAGCCTGTGAGGGTGTACTTGTATGTGGTGTGTGTGTATTTGAGAGGAAGTCTCAACCAACCTTAGATCCTCGGGATTCAAAGGGTCACACTCACTGGGGACTCCATCTTGTGAAGGTGTAAGAAGGGAGAGAGCCCTGGGCTACATGGATGTCTCACCTGTATATTGGGGAGAGCCCAGAAGAGCCTGAGCGGGTATTCAGGTTCGGAGATAATAACAATAATCATTATTATTTATAATTATTTGTTCTGTCCATGGAGGTGGGTCAGACTGACTCAGGGGAGAGTCAGAGTAAGGCAGCAGGCACATTGCTTCTTCATGTATGTGTCTGTGCATGATGGAGGGAACGGAGCAGTTTTTCATGTGTTTGTAGGAGTCTTGGTGGCTGAGTCATGATTTTAATGGTGACATAGGGAAGGCCCAAGGATGCTGAGCCGCATGACATTGCCTCAACCCCACTGTGACTGTCTAAAGTATCTCAGCTAGGGTGAGCTAGACCTGATGGTGTGTAGTGTGTCCTGTGCCCATCACCGGGAGTGTGCAGTGTGTCCTGTGTGTCTGTCACTGGAAGTGTGTAGTGTGTCCTGTGTCTGTCACTTGGAGACCTGCTGGGGGCATCTCAGCAGAGATGGTCTGAGCCAGAAAATGGTTGAGACTGTTTGTGTCCAGTTCTGCCATGAAATGTCCTCTCCGGAGCCGGGGCCTGACTCTCTCTCACTCCTCCCTTGGCCCAGGCAGCTGTCCTGGGTGGGCAGGGCTGGCAGACAGGCAACTTCAGTCTAGTTAGTAGGACTTGAAATTCCGAGTTGCTCTGGATTGTTCTCCCTTTAGAGGAAATTCACTCTTCCTGTCTAGCATCTCGTGGTGCAGTCCCAGCCTGCGTTTCAGCACTGAGGGAAAGACTGATTGAATTTCACATTCTCCGTCACAGACAGGGAACGTGTGTGTGTGTTTGTGTGTGTATGTTTGTGTGTGTGTGTGAGAGAGAGAAAGAGAGAGAGAGAGAGAGACAGACAGAGAGAGAGACAGAGACAGAGACAGAGAGACAGGCAGACAGAGAGACAGCGACAGAGCCAGTGGGGCGTTGGGGGGCTGATTTTCCCAAGGAAACTCTGTGAAGGCCAATTTGTTAGAGAGCAGGTGGAGTGTAACAAGGCATAAAGACCATCTTCGGCAGTAGCAGGAATGTCAGGCCGCTGTCCTGACCATGATGTCCACAGGCTCTGGGTTCTCTCCTGCTACGCTCTCCTAGGCTCCTCAGCGCATGGATGGCTGCAGACGACATTGTCTCTCCTGGCAGCTGGCTGATGCCTGGTGTTTAGTGGCCCGTGTCTGTCCCTGGGAGCTTGTGGCAGGAGATCCACAGACAGTGTCACTTCATGTCCGATCTAACATGACAAGCAGTTCCAAGGAGTGTGATGGTGTATTCTCTGGCCTTTTCCATCCCTGCTGCCATCATGGGAACCCAGGGCCCCAGAACCACTTTACAGATCCCTCTCCTGTCAAGGGGACTTCTGAGGTCAGGAGTGACTCGGTGTCTGGGACAGTGTGGCAGTACCAGCCAGTGTGAAGAGTTTGCTGTGGGTCTGATAGCACAGGGCCGGGCAGTGAGTGGTGTGCACGTATCTGAGCCCTGGGCTCTTCCTGAGTAGGAAACATCCCCGAAGAGTCTCGTCTCCTTAGTCTGGGAAGCAGGAGGGTCAGCACTGAGCCCCAGAAACTGCCTCTCCCAGCACAGTGTTTTGGGCTCAGGGTCATGATGAATAAGAATCCAGCCGGCAGGTGAGGAATTCCACCTGGGGTCGGGGACCGAATGCTGAGGACACTGCGTGCTGCCCTGTGCCTTGTAAAAGGGCCTTAATAGGGACCATCAGGACTGATGGGCACTGGGGAGTAGAGGGACACGGGCTGCTACGCCTGTACATTCTCTCTCTCATCCCTCCTTCCTTCCATTTCCACAGCGTCTCCAGTGCTGACCCCGGAGATGACCATGGACCTTGGGGTCTCTGGCTCTGCTTTCGGTGACTTCTTGCCCTTCCTCAATCCAGGACTCCCCCAGTCACCACCCTGGGAGCTGATCCAGACGCCCCCTCTGGTGACCTCGGCCATTGCTCCTCACAACCCTCTGGTGATGTCACCTTTCCCCACAATGCCCGTGGTGGCAGGAACTGCTGGCCATGGCCCCTGCGACCCTGGACCTTGCAAGGTCATCATCCAGGTCAGTTCTGAAGGGAAGATTCTGGAGTCAGCCCAGAACCAGTCTGTCACCCAGACACAGGCTCCACCCAACCAGGGTGCAACAGAGGCTCCATCTGGGCATCCTGCACCCGTCTACTTGGCATCCTCTGTGCCAAAGACCGTTACAACCACCCCAGCTACTACTGTCACCCAGTCTGGTATGGGAGACCATCTGCCTCATGCTCCACCACCAGAGGCTCAGATAGTCCCCACTCTATTCTTATCCTCCGGTGGGATACAGCCCCAGTGGTTTTGTGGGGACAGTGATCCAGTCCCTGCTTGGAGCCAGGCCCCTCCTGAAGCCTCGCGCAGGCCCAACAGTGTCTATGAGAACTTCCAGCGCTGGAAGCTTTTGAAGGCTCTGACCCGGAGGTACCTTCCCAGGACTCCTGACACTGAAGTCCTTTCCTGCTTCCTCATGTGAGTCTTTCAGTGGTCATCGGGTTCATGGAGCTTCCCAGGAGGGGACTGGGGTGACCCCCAGGGTAGGGTCCATGGGACAGATGTTCTCAGGGATGCCATCCCGGAATTCTGGCTCAGGAGCCCGTAGTGACCAGCCATGTCCGAAAGCCTCACCTCAGTTATCTCATCAGGGTTGGTCCTGATATGTGGTCTGAGGGACAGACATTCTGTTCCTAAGACCAGACACAGCACAGATGTGCCAGGGTTCAGACAGGCCGTGACTTCTCGGCCTTGGCATCCCATGACATATCCCCAGAGCTGAGGGTATACGCCAGTACAGCCACCAGGGTAGGGTGTGGTATGCGAGGTCCACTCTGGGAGGGGAGACCAGGCCACCATTGGGGGTCAAGGCAGTCAAGGTATGGATGTGGGGCAGTGTGGCCTCCTGGCAGATGCAGACCCTGACCAAGCCTGTCCTTGTAGCCCGGTGTTTCGCACTCTGGCCCGCCTGAAGCCCACCATGAGCCTGGAGGAAGGCCTGCGCCTGGCCCTTCGGGAATGGAGGGGCACGAGCAACTATGACCGCATGATCTACTCCGACATGGCGGCCAAGTGAGTCAGGCCTGGGCAGAGAGTGGGGGTCAGGGTGGCTGCAGGCCCGAGCTTCAGGGGCTGCTCCCAGATGGCCGAGGGGCAGGGAGGGCTAGGCAGCCCCAGGAGACCCTTCCCCTGCAGAAACTTGTTCCTCCCGGAGCCGGGACACTTTTCCCCAGCCCACTCTGGGGCTCCTGACCACAGTCTGAGGGTCACAGTCCCTGACCTGCTGTGACCCTCCAGGGCCAATGTGGGGGATCTCTGGGGGTGCTGGGGTCCGTGTCCACCCCATTCTCTACCCTCCTGGGGACTGGGCCATGAGCATCCCCTGTCCCTTACTCATCCTACTCAGTCCCGTTCAACCCGACTCATCAGGGCCTGTGTTCCCCACACCAGGTTCATGGAGTTCGAGGCCGAGGAGGAGATGGAGGTGCAGAAACTGCAGTGGACGAATGGAGCGCAGGGCCTGCCACTCCCCGCCCCACCCAGGCCTGGGCCTCAGGGGGCTCCAGGCCCACTGGCAGACCAGCAGACAGGTACGGACCCTGCTCCCAGCTAAGGGCCACAGGACCTGGAAAGGCCCTCGTGGGTCTTGACCTGACAGGGAGCCTTCACTCTCCCGATGACCCCCAGACCTGTGCTCAGCGGCCCCCTGTCCACGGGTTTCTCCCTCTCCTAGCACACCCCACGCTGCCTGAGGCTTCAGACTCACCTTTGAAGTGGGATCGGAGACCCTGGGGACACACTTGGTCCCTCCTCCCGTTGAGGGCCACCTCATCCCTCATGCATCCACGGGATTCTAGGGCCCTGATCCAGCCCACTGGGACCTGTCCCCAACTCTGTGCTCAGTGCTGTGTGTCTGAGGGCATGGACACGGGGTCCCCTCACATCCCTCTCTTCTTCCTTCCTCCTCAGCCTGTGTCCCCAAGAAGGCCAGACCCCAGGCCGAGGCAGCTCACCCCAAGACACACAAACCTCAGCAGCCCCCCAAGTCCAAGGCCCCCGAGGAGATCCCTCCTGAGGCCGTGCAGGAGTACATGGACATCATGGACGAGCTGCTAAAGGCCCCCGACTCAGTCTGCAGGGCGCACCTCAGCCGACGGGCAGTGGACAGGGAGGAGCAGCAGGAGGAGGCTGGGACCTTTCCTGACCCGGGGCTCTTGAGCTATGTGTACGAGCTGTGCTCCCAGGAGGACTTTGTCACCAAGGTGGGGGATTGGGTCCTGCTGTGGGGTAGGGAGGGTGCAGGGCTGCTTCTATCCAGGGCATGGCAGTGATGTGCAGTCTTTGCTTTGAGCTCTCTGTGTAAATGCACACCTGTGTTTGCATATTTCTGCTTGTGTTTGTACGCATGTGTGCACGTGTGTCTCTCTGTGTACAAGCAGTGGCCCTTGTTTGTGCATTTCTGAGTTTGGTCAATGTGTGAATATCTCTGTTTGTCTACATTTGTGTGTAATGTGTGAGCGCTGTGCAGACACGTGCAGATACATGTACATGTACCTAGAGGAGGAAAAGAGTGTATCATTTGTATCAGGTGTGTGCTTGAATCCATGGGTGCTCACATGTGCTACTCTGTGAGAGTAGGTATATAGTCCGTGTGCCTTTGTGAGTGCGGGTGTGTACATGTCTGTGTGTGTGTGTGTGTGTGTGTGTGTGTGTGTGTGTGTGTGTGTGTGAGCGTTCCCGGCTTGTGTCTGTGTGAGACTGTGCAGCCGTCCAAGCCTGTGCAGCCGTCTAAGCCCGTGCACTGTGCTGGGGAAAGGTGTGTTTGCTTCCTCATTCCCTCCTGTTCCCTACGAGGAGCCTCACCCCTGCTTCCCTCTCCCAGGTTGAGGCGATCCTTCATCCCAGCTTCCTGAAGCACCTGCTCTGCCCAGAGTCCCAGCTGGATCTCCTGGACCTGGCTGATGAGCTGGAGAAGGAGGAAGGACTCACCCCCACACAGGTGAGGGCAAGTGGACCTCTGCAGGTTTGTGTCAGGGACCGGGGCGTTCAGGTAAGGAGGTGAGCAAGGACCCTGGGCAAACAAAAAGGAGTTTTCTGGGTTGGTTCGGGGAAGGAGACTCTACGGGGAGATGGTGACTAAGCCTGGGAACTCAGATAAGCGGGGCTGCATGGGTCAAGGAGGGGCGCCCCAGAAGCGAGTCCCAGCAAGTGCGATGCCCCCCCTGCCCCCTTCATGTGAGGCTTCAGGGAGAAGAGGACATGAATACTGGGTGAAGGAGGATGATGGAGGGTGAGAAGGCTCTAAGGGAGCCACAGAGCTCAAGCATCTTCTGCTGAGAGGAGTAGGAGTCACTCTCTGTCCCACCCTGCACCCCCACATGCCCACACTGTCCCTTCTCCCCCCAGATTGTGGACAAGCGTCTGCAGGCCTCAAAGGCTAAGGAGGTCATGAAGGCTTGTCCCCAACACCAGGTGACAATAAAAGACTCCTGCCCCCCTGAGACTGACTCTGGACATGCCTCACGGCCTGGGCGGGCCGAGGCCACTGTGATGGCACCTGGAGCCTCTGCCCCCTCTCTGGGGAACCTGGAGTCCCCACCCCTGCAGGCAGGACCGGCCCCCTGTCCCAGCCTCACTGCCCCCATTCTGGACAGAAGGGCTCCCCGCATGCTGGGAGAGGCCCCTCCAGGCCGGGGTTCGCTTGGGGCAGTAGAGGGCTCCAGTGAGGAGAAAGAGGAACTGACCAGCCAGGTCTTCCTCCAAGCCTCTCACAACAGCCTGCTGCCCTGGGGCTTACCCAGGAGCCCTGGCCCAGACACTGGCCCCGACACTGGCCCCCACCTGCCTGGAGGTCAGGGGAATCCAGAGCTCCCATCCACTCGCACAAGGGCCTTCAAGTCTAAGGCCCCTACCAGGAAGAATCCTCTGTGTGGGGGCCCAAGGCGGCGCACTGCTAAGAAGACCTCCTGTCCCAGGGGGCACCCCATGGTGTCAAGTGGCTCAGCCTTGACTGTGGAGCTGGAGGGCCCCTCCCTGCCCCCCAAGAGAAAGTTCCAGCCTGCCATGGCCCAGAGGAGGGGGAGGGGGCACAAGAGACAGTAGGATATCTGGGGGCTCCTCCTGACCACCTCCCAGTGTCTGGCTGCACCCAGAAGCCTTGTACTCCCCATGATCTTCAGCTAAGCCTGCTCTGGAATGGCGGGGGCTGTACCTAGAATGGGGGGTTTGACTGGAGCAGCCTCTTTGTGTCATTGTGTAAATAGTGAATAAAGTTCAGTTCTTTGGAAACATCTCAGTGTCTGTCCTCTCACTTGTGCTCCTTGGGAGGCCTGAGACCACAAAGGGTGAGGGGAATCACAGGGGAGGGGGGAACCCTGAGAGTACTGTGCTGCCTGGAGAGTGGAGGAGTCCTTCCCATCTGGAGGAAGATGTGCTCAGTCACCTGCAGGCCCACACCATCCTGAGGGCATAGACAAGGCTCACATCTTGCTGCATTAGCCTGGACCAAATAAAAAATTAAAGCTCATTGGGTATTTGCATATCATATTCTTCACTCACATAAAATGTACAATGCTTTGATTTGACATCATAGAATTTAAATGTTTTTGTAACCAGACATATTTGAACATTTGCCATCACTCTTGAAAAAAAATATGTGGGAGGGATAGTATAGCAGATATGTCGCATGCCTTGCCCATAGCCAATCCATGCACTCGATTCCCAGCACCCCATATAGCCCCCACACTGTGATAAATGAGTCTGTTCAGAGATCCAGGAGCAAGATGTGAGTATACCAGGTGTACCCCCAAAACCTAATAGGTAAAGGTAAAGGCCCTCCCATTGATCATCGATTTGCTCGAGCGGGCCCAGTAACGTCTCCATTGGAGACTTTGTTGTTACTGTGTCTGGCATATCGAATACTCTCGGTAGCTTGCCGGGCTCTCCGAGAGGGCCGGAGGAATCGAACTCGGGTCGGCCATGTTGGCCGCTTGTAAGGCGAACGCCCTACCCGCTGTGCTATCGCTCCAGATCGCTCAAGATGGGAGATGTGTGCTGAAAGTAGAAAACCAAATAATCATATAATAATTATAAAGGGGGCCGATTTAATGTACTTATTTAATTGTTAAGTGTTTTACCATTTAAATATGGTCCTGGTACCTGTAGAGAAGGTGTTTGAGAACCATTCTTCATTTTCAGTGACAAGATATTTGAAACTCAGGACCTTAGAGATTCTCAGGGAATTAGACTACTAGTTTTTAAAAACTAGTTGCAACTCTAATTATTGAGAAACAGTAGGAAAACAACTCTTCAGTGTTAAACATTTTAATTCTCTGCACTTATCACTATTAACGGGCTGGAGCAATAGCACAGTGGGTAAGGCGTTTACCTTGTAGGCGGCCAACATGGCTGACCCGGGTTCGATTCCCCCGCCCCTCTCGGAGAACCCAGCAAGCTACCAAGAGAATCTCGCCCACTGGGCAAAGCCTGGCAAGCTCCCCATGACGTATTCAATATGCCGAAAACAGTAACAACAAGTCTCACAATTTGTTGTGAGACATTACTGGTGCCCGCTTGAGTGAATCGATGAACAACGGGAGGACAGTGCTACTATTAATGAGGGCTGGAGCAATAGCACAGCGGGTAGGGTGTTTGCCTTGCATACAGGCGACCCAGGTTCGATTCCTCCGCCCCCAGTAGAGTCCGGCAAGCTACCGAGAGTATTTCGCCCACATAGCAGAGCCTGGCAAGCTCCCCGTGGCACATTCGATATGCCAAACACAGTAACAACAAGTCTCACATTTGTTGTGAGACATTACTGGTGCCTGCTCAAGCAAATCGATGAACAACGGGAGGACAGTGCTACGGTGCTATTACTAATGAAAAGTTAAGCATAAAATGTGTTTCTTAAAATATTTAGTGAATTTGAATTCACGTAAAATTACATTGCAGAGAGGGAAGGGACAAACTTGAAATGACAAAAAGGCAGTGGCAGAGGTGTTTGGACACGTTAGTGGGGATGAAAGTGAATAACATGTACCCCCCAAACAGAATTATTAAAACAATTTGGGGGCAGTTGGGTCACACCCAGAAGTGCTCAGGCTCCTCATGGCTCTGTACTGAGGAGTCACTCTTTGTTTCTGTTTGTTTATTTGTTTGTTTTCTGTTTGAAGGAGAGGAAGCTTTTTGGGTCTCACACGGCCATGCACAGGGGTTACTCCTGGCTCTGCACTCAGGAATCACCCCTGACGGTGCTCAGGTGACCATATGAAATTCTGGGAATCGAACCCGGGTTGGCAAACGCCCTACCCGCTGTGCTATTGCTCCAGCCCCGCTGAGGAGTCACTCTTGACTGCTCCAGTGAACATACGCTGTCCCGGGGACCAAACTTGTGAGCTTACCCTGCACTGGTGCTAAACCCTGGCAGACGTCTGGGGCCTCCTGGGGCCTTATTGCCTCAGAAGGTGCCCGGCTGCTGGCCCATACAGGACTGCCCCTCGACCTGAGTAGACAGTCTGTCCTTTAGACTCTGTTGTCATGGGACCCTGTAGGTGCTGAGCACCTGTGGTGCGGCTGGTCCAGTCTCTGTGACTGACCCTGCAGGGTCTCTTGCCAACATACCAGTGTGTCCAGGTACATGTTGGGAAGCTCCAAAGAGGCTGGAGGGCAGGGTGTGAGAGGTCAGTGTGATCAGCATAGAGGCCATCCCAGGACACAAGGACCCTGGCCTTAGGATCTCCACAAAGCATAACCCAGTTGGAGGGGAAGGATGGCCTGTGTCAGGGACTCAGGGCTGAGACAGGGCATGCCGCCTCATTCCCATCAAAGGGCCTGATCTAGAGATGGTTGAGCCAATGAGGCACCACTGCTCCCTGCACCATCCCCCTCTCATTCCCCCTCCCTCCTCTCCACAGAGTCTTCCGTGGTGCTCCCAGAGATGACCATGAACCTTGGGGTCTCCGGAACTGCTTTCAGGGTCTTGCCCTTTCTCAATCCAGGGCCTCCCCCAGCCACCACCCTGGGAGCCGATCCAGATGCCCCCTCTGGTGACCTCGGCCAGCGCGCCTGGCATTCCTCTGGTGCTGTCACCTTTCCCCATGATGCCCGTGGTGGCAGGAGCTGCCGGTCCTGGCCCCCACAACCCTGGACCTTGCAAGGTCATCATCCAGGTCAGCCCTGAAGCAGGGCTTGTGGAGTCATCCCAGAACCAGCCTGTCATCCTGACACAGGCTCCACTCAACTGGGGGGCCGCAGAAGCTCCTAC